AGCATCTGGTTAGCTAGCTATATTAACGAATATAAGAAGCTTTTACTACAACCAGTGAGGTAAAGGCACATCTTTATATGATCATTATAGTTATAAAAAATAAGAGAATAAAGTAAACAGGTATAAAATACTATATGACAGTAAAAACAAGTTGTTATTAATAAACAAGAATACAGTTTGAAAGGGGAGTGATTTGTAAAATATCCATAAAGAAAAAGAAAATCTGCTTACAGTTCTGTTTCATATGGGTGTTGAGAGATGTATCCATAGATCTACTAATGTTGCTCTCAAAGTGCACCAGATTGATGCTTTTAACTTCAACATTTAAAAAATAAATCTTCCCGGGGGAGCATGCCCCCCGGACCCCCCTAGAGGAGGTTAGGTCCCCCCCACTTAAATCATGTTCACATGGTAAAGAGGTCTAAATACATTTGCACACATCTTGTGTCCACATCTTTCTGTTTGGGTGGTCATGCCACAACTCTGCACGTGCATGTATTTGTGAGTAATAGCAAGATATCTGGATTAAGAGGTTGCTTTTTCTTTGCACAGCATGAAAGAAAGGTGAAATGAGTGGGCTGTGATTTTAGTATTTTTAAGCAGAGGTCAATAATTTGTACGGCCCTCGGAGGATGTTGAAAACATTGAAATGGCCCTTGAGAGGAAAAAGGTTCCCCACCCCTGAATTAAACAAAGATAACACTGAGGTAATGGTTTTTGGAGCCAAGGCAGAACGTAAAAAGTTAGCGCTGAGCTTCAGTCTTCAATGTTCAAAACAACAGATAAAGCCAGAAATTAGGTGTAGTCATGGACTCTGACCTGAGTTTCAACAGTCACATTAAAACAGTTACTAAATCAGCCTACTATCACCTAAAGAATATATCTAGGATTAAAAGACTAATGTCACAGCAGGATTTGGAAAAACTTGTCCATACTTTTATCTTCAGTAGACTGGACTACTGCAATGGTGTCTTCACAGGTATCACTAAAAAATATATTAGAAAGTTGCAGCTGATTCAGAACACCGCTGCTCGAGTCCTCACTAACACTAAGAAAGTGGATCACATCACTCCTGTTCTGAAGTCTTTACACTGGCTTCCTGTGTGTCAAAGAATAGATTTAAAAAATACTGCTGCTGGTTTATAAAGCTTTGAATGGTTTAGGCCCAAAATACATTTCTGACCTCCTGCTAAATTATGAACCATCCAGATCTCTCAGGTCTTCAGGGACTGGTCAGCTTTCTGTCCCCAGAGTCAGAACTAAACATGGTAAAGCAGCGTTCAGTTATTATGCTCCAAATATCTGGAACAAACTCCCAGAAACCTGCAGGTCCGCTGCAACTCTGACTACTTTTAAATCCAGGCTGAAGACTTTTCTTTTTGTCGCTGCTTTTAATTGAACTATTCATATCTTAGACTGCACTGTAACTTTTATCCATGTATTTTTTCTTTTAATGTTTCTTTAATTAGCTTTTCTTTTTAATGACTGATTTTAAAGGCCATTTTCTTAATGTCTTTCATTTTTGTAAAGCACTTTGAATTTGAGTATGGGGTGAGGGGGTCTCTACTCAGGGCCATCCAATCTCTGTACTCCCAAAGCGAGAGCTGTGTCCGGGTCCTCGGCAGTAAGTCGGACCCATTTCCGGTGAGGGTTGGCCTCCGCCAGGGCTGCGCTTTGTCACCAATCCTGTTTGTAATATACATGGATCGGATTTCGAGGCGTAGTCATGGGGGAGGGGGTCTGCAGTTCGGTGGACAAAGGATTGCACCACTGCTTTTTGCAGATGATGTGGTTCTAATGGCTTCATCGGTCTGCGACCTTCAGCACTCACTGGATCGGTTCGCAACCGAGTGTGAAGCGGCTGGGATGAGGAGCAGCACCTCCAAATCTGAGGCCATGGTTCTCAGCAGGAAACCGATGGATTGTGCACTCCAAGTAGGGAATGAGTCATTACCCCAAGTGAAGGAGTTCAAGTATCTCGGGGTCTTGTTCTCGAGTGAGGGAACAATGGAGTGTGAGATGGGTCGGAGCAGCGGGAGCGGTACTGCAGTCGCTTTACCGCACCGTTGTGACGAAAAGGGAGCTGAGCCAGAAGGCAAAGCTCTCTGTCTACCGGGCCATTTTTGTTCCTACCCTCACCTATGGTCATGAAGGATGGGTCATGACCGAAAGAACGAGATCGCGGATACAAGCGGCCGAGATGGGTTTTCTCCGCAGGGTGGCTGGTGTCTCCCTTAGGGATAAGGTGAGAAGTCCGGTCATCAGGGAGGGACTCGGAGTTGAGCCGCTCCTCCTTCGCGTCGAAAGGAGCCAGTTGAGGTGGTTCGGGCACCTAGTTAGGATGCCACCTGGGCGCCTCCCTAGGGAGGTGTTCCAGGCACGTCCAGCTGGGAAGAGACCAAGGGGTAGACCTAGGACCAGGTGGAGGGATTATATCTCTTCGCTGGCCTGGGAGCGCCTTGGGATCCCCCAGTCAGAGCTGGTTGATGTCGCCAGGGAAAATAAAGTTTGGGGCTCTCTGCTGGAACTGCTACCCCCGCGACCCGACCACGGATAAGCGGGAGAAGATGGATGGATGGATGGACTTTGAATTGCCTTGTGTTGAAAAGTGCTATATAAATAAACTTGCCTTGCCTTGCTGTGTTTCATCCAAGCTTCCACTTTGTGCTCCGATAATGCTGAAAGTATCTGTTGTATGCTTTACCTGCTCCAGTAACAAAAGTGTAATTCACTGGACAGAGACAAGAGATAGTGGATGGATCCAGAAAATAACCAGAAGATAGTCCGTATAGACCAGGGGTGCCCAACCTTTTTTGAACCGAGAGCTACTTTTAAAGTTGCCAGTCTGCCGAGATCTACCAGTTCAAATAGAGAGACGTAGCCATTACTGACCAGGTAAACTACCAGGTAAATACACACTTCTACTTGTATAAAACTGACCTTTGTACGATTAATACTCCATAAAATACTGCAGATCCTTTATCTTACCTGCTCTTTCTAATCTACACACATACAAGTATTTAACTGAAGTTACACAACAGTGTTGTTGATACAGAGTTGGAGTTTATTCACACGTCACATACTACAGTGGGTAATGTTTTTAAGAAACATTGAACAGTGCTGCCACATATGACACAGGAAAATAGAAAATACTCTGAACCCTTTCTTTGCCATTAAAATTAGGCCTACTAATCAGACAACTCAGATCTGAAGCTACACAGGAATCTGTTGCCAAAGTGCAATAAAAAAGACAAAATTAATAGAATCAAACCCTTTTTTTGTTGCATTTTAGTAGAGTATAAAAATAAATGCCTTTAAAATAGGATGCAAGCAACACTAGTTTCTTAACCTGAATTGATAATAGACTATAATCAATTTAAGTTTGCATTCTTATACCATTTTGTACAATAATTATAATGAATAAGTTCAAACAAACTAAAACTTACAGCTGATTAATAACGGTATCTAACTTGAGTTTTTATTATATCAAAAACCTGTTGAAATGCTACTGTTATTTTTACTGTCCCCCAAAAGCACGTCGGCACGATAAGATGCTCTGGTAGCAGCCTAGTGAAAATGGACTGCTGTGCATTTAGCTGTCCTTTCAGGCCCCTCCCCTTTTGGGAGCGTAGGGCAGAATTAGGAGGGAATTCCGTCTCGTAGCGTTTGTGCACTGTTTTGAAATGCCACTCCTAAATTACCCTTCTTCGATAAAGCCACGCTCGCATTGCAGATGAGACAGATGGACTTTGAATTGGAATAGATAAAAAAATAATCATCCTCCCACTCGGAGTGAAAATGATATATTTTGGGCTTTTTTGCTTCTGCCATAATTGCGGTCTTGTGTGTGTGCGGACTGTCACTCCTGTTGTTGACACGGACAACCTCAGCGAAATAGTGCCCACTGCTGACCAGCCACGCCCCGACACATGGGGTCTAGCCGGCCAATCACAAAGCTTTGATGCGTTCAAGTGCATTATTCTGGCACAGGAAGATTATGTTATAGGACATTAACGATAAAACAGAATATTGTTGTTCTATTTTTAGACACATCTCGCGATCGACTGGGAATCTCCCCGCGATCGACCGGTCGATCACGATCGACTGGTTGGGCACCCCTGGTATAGACAGAGCCTTCAGGTTCTGATAATGATCAGGGACAGAGCTAGAAAAAAACTCCAAAAACCTGAATAGAGCTAGAAGATAGCCAGTACAAAGCCAAGAAAGACCAAGAAGAAAGACAGGAAGGAGCCAAAAGAGGTTGTGTTTTTTAATATTCAAACTCTTCTCTTAAGATATTAGAACTCCCTATCTCAACATGTATCCTTTTATGTCAATTAAAAAACCCTTACATTTTTGCTGCCAATTATTGAGATTGTTTCACAGCTTTATTTTTTATTTTTTCTGGTATACATAGCAGGTTTTATTCATGGTTTATGAATATGATTTAGATGATTTCATTTTTTTAAATTTATTGTAGAGGCTACAGACACAAAACATGGACATTACAATAACAAAAAGAGACATTCCTATCAGACAAAAAAAAAACAGAAACAAAAATAATAAATTACAGTCAGTTGGTCACTTCAACATTTCATAAACAAAACAAAAAATAGGTTGACAGTCCAATATCATCAAAAGCATTTATTATTCCTTTTTATCCCACTTCACCTCAACACACCATTTATAGCTCTGTCGCTGACCATTATCAGAACCTGAAGGCTCTATACGGACTATCTTATGGTTCTTTTCGGGATCCATCCACTATCTCTCGTCTCTGTCCAGTGAATTACACTTTTGTTACTGGAGCAGGTAAAGCATACAACAGATACTTTCAGCATTATCGGAGCACAAAGTGGAAGCTTGGATGAAACACAGCAGACTTCTAAACAATGAACACCCGCAACTTGGAAGAACTAAAGTTGGGTTTTATGTGTTCTAATATTGCAATGCAAACCCATGATGTAATGACAGTAATTAAGAATAATTGAGTCATTGAATGCTCATTTCAGTAGATTTAATCAAACAAAACATAAACATATTGGACATGGCCTCAAGACTGTAACCTCTTCACATACTGTTGAAATGGTCAATTACTAGCCATATCTTACACATTGCTGTTTTGAATCATTAATATGTGGATGACAGTTGAACTGGATGATGTAACATGTATGCCATCTGCTGGAAAGAAGACGTATCGCACTTTTGGGGTTGTTTAGACCAGTGGTTCTCAACTGGTGGGTCGCGGGTTTCGAGATGTGTGAGAGACAAAAAAATAGGAAAAAAAAGATTCCTTTTTTTTTGTTGGGAAAAAATTCAAACTTTTATTTTGAAGGCCCGACTTTCTAACGCTGTGCATGCAGTAGGTATGCATTGGACTGGAAGTACGGGAGACCATACACAGTTTTGTCACGTAGTGATCATCTTCTCAATAAAACATCTTTGCTGATGTTTTTTAGATTCTTCTGGCCAATCAGAATCAAGATTGTTGTCGGAAGTCCCCACAGAGAATAACTTTGCAGTATAACTATTCTTTATACATCCATGGGTACAACTTCAGATACAAATTAACACATAATGAAATATGACCCCTGGTTTGATGATTCACAGGTCACAGAACAATGGGGGCTATCTACCCTTACCCACAATTTAAAGTAATTCACACAGACTATCTCCTCTTTACTCTTCTCTCTGTGAGGAGCAGCAAGTTCAGCTTCAGAACAAAGTGAAAAACAAACAATGGCATAACATATTATTAATATGTCGGGTAGTAATACATCTATGTAGAGCGTACCAGAATGGGTAGTTTATATGTTAGTATTTCTAAAAATCTCCTGGGGGAGAATCCCCCCCAGACCCCCTTCTGGGGTTGGGTTTACAGCATGTGCCTTTTTATGTTATACAGTTCAGCTTTGATTCCATCTTCTCATTAAACCTTATTTAAAAGCATTATTTTGTTCTGTGAACGGATATATGCACTGTAATTCACTTTAATTAATATTGTATGCTGAAAAGCGTATATTACAGCACGATTTTTTGTTGAATAGATTTGAGTGGTTCAAAATGTTGGGTCATGATCTATTGACAAAGGAAAAAGTGGGTCCCGAGGCCTGACCAGTTGAGAACCACTGGTTTAGACAACAAAAACGGAATGAAGCTCTCATTTCAAAAACAATATTTGAGTACAGACACCGTCCTGCAGAGAGCACACTACCCAACAGCACGTTTTTGGTCTTGCATCACTTTACAAAACATTTGCATTAAGACACTAAGACTAGCTGGTCCCTTGTAGAGGTGAGTCCACCTTAAATGAGCAGTCGGTGATCAGCAGGTGAAAGGCAGGACACGGGAACTTGGTCCTGAGGAGATGTAACGATTATTAAACAAGAAATAGTCGAGTCAAGGGGTCAAAGAAAATGAAGATTTGTGATTATTAGAGAATCGGTTGCAGGTGGGTGAAATCAGGCTTAGGGAGTTACGCATTACATGTAACGGCATGAGGTCATCAGGATACAAAATAGACAAATGTATTCCCTGACAGTTACAGAAGCAGCTGACGACCAACACACTTATGTCTTTTGAAACTATTATGCCATTTAAATCTTTTCTCACAAACATTGCAGCTCTATTTTTCCTCTCCTGTGTGGACTCTCATGTGTGTCTTCAAACTATCACTCCGTGAAAAAGCTTTCTTACAGACAGAGCAGCTGTGTGCTTTCTCTCCTGTGTGGACTCTCATGTGTGTCTTCAAACTATCACTCCGTGAAAAAGCTTTCTTACAGACTGAGCAGCTGTGTGCTTTCTCTCCTGTGTGGACTCTCATGTGGTTCTTTAAACTATCACTCCGTGAAAAAGCTTTCTTACAGACAGAGCAGCTGTATGCTTTCCCTCCTGTGTGGACTCTCGTGTGTTCCTTTAAATCTCCACTCTGTGAAAAAGCTTTCTTACAGACTGAGCAGCTGTGTGCTTTCTCTCCTGTGTGGACTCTCATGTGTGTCTTTAAATTTGCACTCTGTGAAAAAGCTTTCTTACAGACTGAGCAGCTGTGTGCTTTCTCTCCTGTGTGGACTCTCATGTGTGTCTTTAAATTTGCACTCTGTGAAAACGCTTTCTTACAGACTGAGCAGCTGTGTGGTTTCTCTCCTGTGTGGACTCTCATGTGTGCCTTTAAATGTGCACTCTGTGAAAAAGCTTTCTTACATACTGAGCAGCTGAATGGTTTCTCTCCTGCATGGACTCTCCTGTGTTCCTTTAAATGTGCACTCCGTGAAAAAGCTTTCCTACAGACTGAGCGGCTGTTTGGTTTCTCTACTGTGTGGACTCTCTTGTGGTCCTTTAAATGCCCACTCTGTGAAAAAGCTTTCTTACAGACTGTGCAGCTGAATGGTTTATTTTCAGCACTAGGTTGTGGATCACTGACAGATTCCTGTCTATTTTTCAGTGAGTTTGAGCCTGATGCAGGTTCTCTGGCCTCCTTCCAATCAGCACTGTCTTCAGTGCCAGGTTCAGAAGAGTCTCCAGTGTCGTCCTCAGTCTTTGGTTGTAAACTGCTCTCTGGATCTGAGCTCCTGGCTGGTTCTGGTCCTCGACAGTCATCTCCATCAGCTTCTGTTTCCATGTGTTCAGTTTGTCTTTGATGAGGCTGAGAGGACTGAGGTTTCTCTTTATCATCTTCACTCTTCACAGGGTCAGGAGTGAAAGTGGACTTGGTGATCTCAGCCTCCTCCAGCTCCTGAAGCTGCTCTCCCTCCTGACTGATCCAGAGTTCCTCCTGTTCCTGCTTAATGTGTGGGGAAGGCACTGGGTCCTCCGGGTCCAGACTGGTGCTCCACTCCTGCTGGTCAGGGAGAAACTCTTCTTTAACCACCACCAGCAGCTGGAAATCTGCAGGAAACAGGAAACACACTGTCAGAATAAACTGTTAAGTGTTAGCATTTAAAAATCTAATCACCATTACAATGGGAGACATTTTGCAGCCCTAATTAATGCCTTTGTTTTTATATTTTCACATTATCTATCTTAGTCCCACCTATTGTGTATTTGTGTTGGCTCAATTCACCTTATGTAGGCCCGCCCCTTTCCACTTCCAGTTAAAAATGAAAACGTTTTTTCTTCTTCCGGCGTAGCACTAGCTGCAATGTAAACAATGAATTGTATTTGGGATCGTTCACATATACACTACGCCTGCAGTAGAGAATTACAATACTCTGTTACAAATACAAATCCTGCATTCAAACGTTATTCAAGTAAAAGTATGCAAGTATTAACCTGTTGAGCCCCGAGCCTGTTTTTCAGGTCTCAGGCTCGAAAATGACATTCCCAGAACAAATGACCATATATTCCCTTCTAAAAAGGGTTAAATTAATAATCTTTGTTCCCAAAGCAAGGTTACACCTGTGAGTTGGATGTGGAAGTGTCAGAATCAATAGATTTTTTCATTTTAAAGTAAATTCAGATTGAACACAGTAAAAACATTTTTTAATTATTGTGTCCATCCAAAAAAAATAAAATTACTTATAGTGAAAAATTGGGTGGATTTGACCTATCTCTGGCACCCCTTGCTCGATTTTGCTGAATGACATCTCTTTCTAACCGTCAGAGCCAATGGAATCGAGGGGAACTCCCACATACTCCTTATTTGGTAATGTGTGTGTGTGAGACTGACGCATAGCCAAAACCGGAAGCTGCGATAACACTGGTAGCTACCATTAGCAGCTAACTTTTACTCTCCGATTTTTACATACAAATGGAATTATGGATTATAAATTTAAAAAAATGATTCCACAGAAACATTATCAACCTATGGATTAACCGATTCAGCTGCGTTTTATCTCGTTTTAATGCCATTGAACAAGTCTTTTGATCAGATTGACAGCTAAGGTGAGACGATCTCCCGTAAAAGCTACGTAAAGGTACGTGTTGTGATGTCTGTGTTTACTTCCCCTGTCGCGAGTTTGGATCACTCAGTGATGATACTATACCTAAATAATCTGTGGAACCTCAGCTTAAATCGGATATCTTGTATGTGCGTTAGCATTTTTCGCTCAGGGGTCATTTAGATGCTTCTTTTGAGACTTGTGTTTTGTTTTGGTAAAAATGGTTTGTATCGTCAGTTAGCTGAGATTATTCCCATTAATCTGGTAGAACATATTTATAGGTTCTTAAATATTAAGATCCCCTGAGACACAGTGTAGTGAAACAAAAAAAAAAGTACCCGTCGAGGGGGACCTTGGGGCTTAACAGGTTAACAGAACATTTGACGGCACCTTCTTATGTAAAAGTAATGATGGTGCAGTAAAATGTTCCCTGTCGGTGTTTAATGTATGATGTTTCTTGATTATTTTGTATGTTGCATTTTACTGCTGTACATGTTCAAAGTTGCGCTTGTATAAATGATTATAGATGAGGGAACCTGCTAAATATGAAAATGTGTGTGTTTTATATACAGTACCAGTCAAAGTTTGGACACACCTTCTCATTCAATGGTTTTTGTTTATTTTAATATGTTTCTACTTTGTAGATGAATACTGAAGACATCAAAACTATGAAAGAACACATATGGAATTATCTAGTTAACAAAAAAGTGTTAAAAAAAAATCAAGAATATGATTTTTATTTTAGATTCTTCAAAGTAGCTCCCTTTTGCCTTGATGACAGCTTTGCACCCTCTTGGTTTCTCTCAGTCAGCTTCATGAGGTAGAAACCTGGAATGGTTTTCAATGAACACGTGTGCCTTGTCAAGAGTCAATGTGTGGAATGACTTGCCTTCTTAATGTGTTTGAGACCATCAGTTGTGTTGTGCAGAGGCAGAATTAGTGCACAGTGGAAAGCCCTATTTGACTGCTGTTTTAATCCATATTATAGCAAGAACGACTCAACCCAGTAAAGAGAAACGACCGTCCATCATCACTTTAAGAAATTAAGGTCAGTCGATCCGGAAAATGTCAAGAACTTTGAATGTATCCTCAAGTGCAGTCGCAAAAACCATTGAATGCTATGATGAGACTGGCTCTCATGAGGACCCCCCCGGGAAAGGAAGAGCAAGAGTTACCTCTGCTGCAGAGGATAAATACATCAGTTACCAGCCTCAGAAACCGCAAATTAAAAGCACCTCAGATTAGAGCCCACATATATGATCAAAGAGCTGAAGGAGCAGACAATCTTAAAGGTCCCATGACATCAGGGCTGTGCAATTTAATCGATCCTGCGATATATATCGATATTTAGGTTTCCGAGAAAGTATCGATACATTAAGTCTGATAACTGTGTTCGTTATTCTCGTGTCCAGGAGAGAAGCTTTAAAAAGGAGACTAATTGAGTCTCTGAGAAGGTTCAAATGTATACTTTAATTAATAAAAAGTGCGGTAATGTTACAAGCAGAAGATGGTTCAGTCAGAAAAACAGCTGTGTTCTGGCTCTCTTGAGAGAAGGGAAGAGAGCGAACTCCATCTTTCCAGCTGTTAAATATCCTCTGCTGGCTCCTCCCTGTGGGCCGGTTGGCGCTGCTGGGGGCCGGCCCTCCACGTCTCCAATGTTCGTTGTTGCGCATTAGAGGATTCAGACATTGTACATTAAATATATAACTAAACACGCCTTTTCTCCTCCTTATCTCTTTCATGACTTTTCATTTAATACATTTTAAACGCTGTAATCAATACTCCAAAAATACCTCACGGCTGGTATCATTTCCGGATGTTGTCTCATGCTACCCACGTCTGTAAACAAACGTATTCAAATAAACTACCTTCATTTAATATTCAGCAATAGTAATATCTCGATGTCTATAGTTGTAGTGTTGAAATCAGTAGGTTTCGGTGTGCAACACTCCGTGTCATATCGCTACTAAATTCACCTCTATAGTAAATGGTATATTAGCCACATGCTAAATGCTAACCGGAGATGAAGGATTTTCAGAATAAAAGCTTAACAACTGGTTGTGCACAAGAACTTCTGGTTTTTCAGTATAAAACAGCCTTTAAACTGACGGTATGTTTAAGGTACTTTATGCCATCAAAACATTGATTTTAATTTCTAACAAGTCCCATTCAAATCCCCCGTGTTCCGCTGAACCTTTTAATTCTCCATTGTCCATTGTGATACTGCACTTTATGTACTTACGTTTCAAAGGCTTGTAAGCTACAGTTTGCACTGTTTCAATAAATGAAACACATTTTCTCACCACATCTTTTGATTCATTTTGACCAGCATTTGCAAGCTGTCGACTCTCTGTCAGAGCCATATATTGTATAATTGATGCTTTCAGTTTTCAGTTGAATTAATTCAATCCAAGTCAATGGAACACTCACAAGATGTCACCAAAATCACACTGTCCCTTTAAAATCTTTCAGAAAATGATATAAGTGTATTGAATTATATCGAATCGTATCGTTGGCTGAATATCGTGATATATATCGTATTGTGAGCTGAATATCGTGTATCGTATCGTGAGATTAGTGTATCGCTACAGCCCTACATGACATGGCCATTTCTACTGATCATAATTCCATTGTTGAGGTCTACTAGAATAGATTTACATTGTTCAATGTTCCAAAACTACATTGGTTTTCTCACAAAGCATCTCTGTATAGTATGTGTATTCACTCTCTGTCCTACACGACTCAGATAAGGAAATATATGATACATTATGATGTGATATGCTGCGGACTGTATTGTTACTTTGATCCGGTTACTTATGTTGTGGCAGATATTTAATTAAGCTTTCTAAACGCTAATGTTATATTAGTCAGATTGCTTTGAAGATGGGAGGTGATATTCTATTAATGTTCACATTCACACAGTCAGTTGATTTGCCGTCTTTCCTGCAACGGCAGTTGTTCTGTATTTCCTTTCTCCTGTAATATGACTTGATCGCTTTAAACTCTGCACACTGAGCTCTGATTGGTCAGCAGGTAGTACTTTCACTGAGTTGAGCTCTTCGCCTGTAACCTAACCTGCTCCGGGGCAGGTTAGCCGCACAGCATAAGTTACCATGGAGATCTAGCTTGCTAAAAAAGAGAACCAGCGTCGTAGGACCGGAAACACAGAGTTTTCCCTGAAGTTAGCTCGCTAAGCGAAAATCCTGCTTCGTAGTACAGGCCTCTGGTGGTCCAGTTTTCGCGGCTTTATTTTGTTTCCCATAGGGTATTTATTTGATTTCTGGTTAGGGCAGGGAAACTCTGGGTCCTACGGCCCGTGGTGTGGCTGGCTCGGGTTACCTCCTTCTGTTTGTTTCTTTTGGCCAGTCCTCCAGACCTCTTTTCGTTTGCCGGATTGCTTGTGTGAGTAAACGGCTGTACTTCAATAAATGATCGTAATCAAGTGGTTTTTGCGTGTATTATTTTATGTTGCGGGTCTCCCCACAAACCACTACCACGGAATAGAGGGCGGGTCGTAACAATAGACATGTATTTTCTGTGTTAGAGTTTTACTCTCTACTGGGTGTACTTTGAGGGTTTATGACTCTGCAGACCGTTTGCAGAAAAAGCTACATAACACACAAGGGGACGGGTAATAACAGGAAAAGCATGACATGGGACCTTTAACATGCACTGTTCAGAGGAGACAGCGTGAATTAGGCCTTCATGGTCCAATTGCTGCAAAGATCCACTACTGAGGATGAACAACAAGAAGAGGAGAATTGTTTGGGCCAAGAAACACAAGGATTGGACATTAGACCAGTGGAAATCTGTACTTTGGTCTGATCGGTCCAAATTCGAGATTTTTGGTTCCAACCTCCGAGTCTTTGTGAGACGCACAGAAGGTGAGCGGATGGTTTCTGAATGAGTGGTTTCCACTGTGAAGCATGGAAGTGAGATGGTGGTGGGGGGGGGGGGGCGTCTGCTGGTGTCACTGTTGGTGATTTATTCAGAATTCAAGGCAACCTTAACCAGCATGGCTACCACAGCTTTCTGCGGTAGCCAGCAAAATATAAATCATATTCTGGATGTTTTAACACTTTTTTGTTTACTAGATAATTCCATATGTGTTCTTTTATAGTTGTGATGTCTTCAGTATAAATCTACAAAGTAGAACCAATTTAAATAAATACAAAATTTTGAATGAGAAGATGTGTCCAAACTTTTGACTGCGTCTAATACTAGTGTATATCTCTCTCAAAATATATATTCTGTGTGTGTGTATATATATATATATAGAATATATTATAAATACATGTTGGCAATAATTGATTGATGAGATGTTACATTAATTTATATTAACGTTTTAATTACTTAATGACCTTTGTACTAGTTCCCCTATTCTTTAACAAGTAACATTTTAGATGTGTTTAATTTATTATTGAACATATTTATTCATTGATTTATTTATGAATTATCCTCGCGCAATTTGAATTAATCCAAAGTATTTATTTGTATTTGCTTTTTCACATTTAAAAATAAAAGGTGAATAAAGAAGCACATTAAAACTAAATTATCAAATGATGTCACAGTTAACCAACTAGTGCCTACATGTATGGGTAATATTTAAATCAGTAAATTAAATGGCATATTATTCAATGTATGGATTTTTATAAATATATTTATTTTTGGTAGGTTAGCTCTTCCGTAATACATTTTAATTATCATAATAAAGTACATGTGTCTAATAATACTTACATACAGTACTTTAACTTGTAAATCCAATCAAAGTTTATTTATAAAGCACATTTAAAAGCGATTTTTGGTCGGGCCAAAGTGCTGTACATGTAATAAATACTACAATCACATAAAAACACATTACTACAATCACAATAAAAGACAATAAATTACAACAGATATATAAAAAACACAGGGAAAAGTCAGGAGTCGTGCTCCGCTCTGACTAAAAGGCCAGGGAGAAGAAGTGTGTTTTAAGAGTAGATTTAAAAACCCCTAGGGTCTGGGCCGACCTCACGTGGAGGGGCAGAGTGTTCCAGAGCCTAGGGCCAGCTGCTGCGAAGGCTCGGTGCCCTCGGGTTTTGAGCCTGGTCTTGGGCACTACCAGCAGCTCTGGCTGGGGTGTAGCGCTGGAGGAGTTCAGCTATATAGGCCGGAGCCAGCCCATTTAGGGCTTTAAAAACAATAATGGAGTATTTTCAGTGTGGTGTTTGTACTTTTACTTCAGGATCTACTACCTGCAGCAAGTGATGATAAAGGGTCTAAAGTGTTATTAATGTGATAATAAAGTGCTACTGAAGAGTGTAAAGTGTTAATTAAGGGTAAAGGGAACAGACCTGCTCTGTGTATCCGAAGTTGAGGCTGTAAAACAGCGTCCAGAAGTTTCTGGAGTCTCTTGTTTTCCTCTTTGGAAAGAGACAGCTCCTCCTCGTACTCGGCTATCGTTTTTTCAAACAAAGCAAATATCTCTTCAGCAGCAGCAGTGAATCGCTGCTTCTTCAACGACAGCAGCATTTGGACTTTACTCATGTTTACTAGATCACCTTTTCCTGCAAGCTCCGTTAAACACACCGTTTCTCTCTCCATCAAACTCTCAATCTGACTGGCGTTGCTAACGTGTTTCCAGCTAGCATGCTAAGCTAGGTCCTATAGTCCGAGGTAAACGCTCCAGAAAAAAGAGCACACAGTCCATTCAGAGGTTTATCCAAACACACAGATGATGGATCAGTAGTGCTGGAGCTCACACACACTTTCTCAGGAACAAAGAGAGAGAGAGAGAACCGTAGCGACGAGACAACGTTACCGAATAAAATGTGGGACGAACAACTGCTGGTGATATCTTCTTCTTCTTCTCTTGTTGTTGGCGGATTGCAAACAACTTAAAAAGGTGCCTACCGCCACCTACTGTACATGAGTATGAATCATCACATCATTCCAACTCTTTAACCTATGATATAGACAAAATTAAATTAAAAATAAATCAATCAATAAAACCATGAAATAAATAAAACAAAAGTACAAATCTATGTTCTTTCCTGACCTAATGTTAAATAATTGTTCCTACCCCAGTTTCACTGAATAATTTAAACAGTGCCTTTCTGGTAGCTCTTACTCCCTCTCCTTTTGTTCCCAAAACACCAACCACACTCCATTCCCTCTCTGCCTCTAAAACGTTAGCCTTTAATTGTTCTCTTTCCGCTTTATAGATGTCACAATGTAACAAGATATGTTCTACATCTTCTTTTACTGCACAGTTCCCACACTTGTTACTGTCACTTTCCCCCATGATATACAGCGTACTATTCAAAGCCGTGTGATTTATTCTGAGTCTAGCCATCATGATTTCCTCCCTTCTGTTTCTTTCTTTATGAATATTAATTGTAATTGTACTTTGTACTTTGTGATAGTCCTTGCCTTTCTGGTCTTTCTCCACCTTTTCTGCCAGATCTCCATCCCTTTTTCTTAATGACTGCTTTTCCTTCTCCAACTGGTAATGTTATTTCCTTTTGTTGTGCACATTTTGCTCATTTATCAGCACACTCGTTCCCTTTCACCCCCTCATGTGCAGGCACCCAGCAGAACTGCACATCTATACCGCCTCTGTGCAGTCTTAACAGGCTATGATTCAGTTCTATGAGAATGTCTTCTCTGGCAGTTGTTGTTGATTGTATGCTTTGTAATATGGAAAATGAATCTGTACATATAACCACCCTATCTGGTCTGACCTCTTCAACCCACTGCAATCCTATTATTACAGCAAGCATTTCTGCTGTATACACTGATAATTGATCAGACGCTCTTTTTAAAATAGATATAAAGTCTGGGATGTATATGCCAACGCCAACACACTCTTCCTTGTTCTTAGAACCATCTGTATAAATGTGTAGGTAATTGTAGTACTTTTCGTTCAGATACATACTTGTTTTAATTCCCACTTCATTTATTTGCCACTCTTTTTTCCTTTCTACAATACTCATATCTATTTTAGCTTCTGGGGAAAGCCATGGGGGAACACTGCTGAATGGGGTTGCTTTGGCAAACGTGATATTCTCCACTCCATATGCCCTCGTTCTCTCCTTACTCGTCCAGCCAAACCCACGTCCCTGGAATTTTGCATATTCCCAGCAATCCTGTAATATTCTATTTGAAATATTTTCTTCTCCACTTCCTTGTAGTCTGACCCAGTATGACAGAGCAAGTTTCTCTCTTCTGATCTCCAGAGGTGTCTCTCCTGCTTCTATCAGAACTGCATTGATAGGGGATGACTTTATCGCTCCAATACACAGCCGCAATGCTTTATATTGTATTCTATCAATTTTTTTAAAAGCGATGTTTTTGCTGCTGCTCCATACACTATACAACCATAGTCTATTGTGGACCTCATAATTGATCTGTAAATGTCTATTAATGCTTGTTTGTCTGCACCCCAGTTGCATCCAGCTACAGCTCGCAATAAATGTAATACTTTTTAGCATTTTGTTTCCACTTGATTAATATGCATTTTCCATGTATATTTGCTATCAAACCACAGTCCTAGGTATTTGAACTCATTCACCTTTGTCATTGGTCGATCATATAGTGTTAGCTGTTGGCCATCAATCTTGCGTTTGTTTGTAAATACCATGTAGCATGCATGACTTGCTTTCTGACATTTTGAATCCCCAGTTATATGACCACCTCTCCACTTTTTTAATCGCTCTAGCTATATTCTCCATTACCTATGGGGCATGTCTTCCCCTCATCCAAACAGCCCCATCATCTGCGTATAGAGCCGATTGGATGCATGTGTCTAAGCATGTAAATATCTCATTAATCATGATGTTAAATAATATTGGACTGACTGCACTCCCTTGGGGAATACCATTTTCTATTTCAAAATAATTGGAAATATCTGCTCCAACCTTTACTCTAAATGTCCTGTCAGTTAAAAAGGCCCTACCCAATTGTACATTCTCCCTCCAATACCCATTCTACTCAATTTGATCAGTAACCCATCCCTCCACATAGAGTCATACACCTTTTCAATGTCAAAGTACACTATTGCCATTATCTCTTTCATTTTCAATGTTTTTTCCACATCGTTACTCACTCTTACTAATGCATCTATTGTGGACCGCCCTTTACGAAATCCGCTCTGAAAACTACTCAGCAGCCCTTTCTGTTCCAGTACATGTGAGAGCCTACGGACGATGATCTTTTCCATCCATTTACATAGGTGTGATGTAAGAGCTATTGGTCTATAGTTACTAGGGTTAGCTGTACTGTATCTTTCCCTGGCTTATTGAATGGTAGCACGATTGCTGTTTTCCACACACTTGGCATATCTCCTTCTCTCCAGATTTTATTGAAAAGACTCAGCACCATTTTCATAGTTTCCATAGGTAACTTTCTAAACATAGCATAACATAGCTGGTCTTGTCCTGGGACTGTATATCCTGTACCTTGCAAGGATATGTTGAGTTCTGACATTGTAAATTCTACATCCAGAGCTGACCTATTATCCTGTCTCTTCTCCTTCACGTTTTCATTCTCTGCTAGTAACTGCTGTTTTTGCTGCCTATGAATATCACTGAGATGCTCCCCACTATGTACTGCTGCAAGTGTCCTTCCTAACATATCTGCCTTCTCTTTATCTGTCACTGCCAGCCTCTCCCCATCAACCAAAGCTGGAATTTTAATGGATTTCCTTTTCCCACTCATCCGCTTTAACATGGACCAGACATCACCTAATGTTACTCCTCTGCCAATGGTAGAACACAATTCTCTCCATGTTCTTTTTTTTGTATATTTTATTGTCCTTCGAGCAGCTGCCCTTTTCCTTTGAAACTCTAGAACATTATTTTGTGTCATGTTTTTCTTTAATTCTCTAAATGCATTATTTCGCTCTTTAATAGCCCTGCTGCATTCCTCATTCCACCATGGCACCACTTTCTTCCTACCCTTGGTTGTTGTTTTGGGTATACCGTTCTCTGCTGCATTTAGTATATGTTGCGTTATTTGGCTTGTAATGACCTCTATGCTTCCCTCTGATGTTAGCAGGTGTACCGACTCCTCACACCATATCCTACATTTCCCCCAATCAGCTTTAGCAAAGCACCACCTGGTTATTACACCTCCTTCCTGCATATATACATTAGTATTCATTTTAGTAAGCAAACAAATGACATCAGTTATGACATCACTTACCTGTCATAACTTATCTGGGATTTGTAGTCTTTCTAGTTGCGTATTTTTCAGTCTTATATTTCAACAGTTTTACGACAAACTGTGACTTTTTTGACATGGAAATGATTGTTTAAGATTGACAAACATCATATGTGTAATTCATAGCACAATTTAAACGGGATCGAAAGATACGTTTTCTCTCCATCGACTTCAATACATCATTTTCCCGAAATAAGGTCCCATGGGTCGGAAGTAGATGGGCGGGACTTTGCCTCTCTCTAACGGTGATCACGGAGAAACTCATCTCCTCATTGGCTGTGATGTTATATCATGTGACTGTGATGTAGTTCCTTTATAGCCTAACGCTAGCTTTTCACTTGTGTGAAAGAACAGGTATTGGATGTTCACAACTCAAAGAAACATTATAAATACCATAGGTGTAATCGTTATTAGACATTTTAATGAGGAAATGTTACATATTATATATTTTAAATAAATAAACCCACCACTGGGAAAGTTGAGGAATATAAATGTCTCTGTGAACATCACATTGAACTTTTGTGTAACTTATTAGCATTTTTTTAAGAGATCTCTGTTTCTCTGTGATTGTTGGTTATATAACAAGAGCATTTTCCCTGTTTATCTTCCAGATCCATGAGGGAATATTGTTAACCATCAGGCAGTAAATGCAGCCCCGTAATCCTGCATTTGGTTCCTTTCCTTCAGTTTCTGTCCCTCAAATCATTGGAAACAGTCAGAAAAACGGCTACGGAGAACACGAAGAACCGTTTTAAATGATGACTTTTTTGCTTTAATCACCCCGACTGAATTAATCACACGTGATTATTTTTCACTCATGTTCCCGGTAATACCTTCCACTCTGTTATTGCTTAACTTTTATTCATAACAATAGTCTAAATAAACTGCAGTGAGTAACATTTCCATGAAGATATTCAGAAAATCAATACGAAGAAGTACATGATGAGGTTTTTCAGTGTCTGACAGGCTGTTGTAGACAAAGTATGCTGCAATAGCACTGAATGTTATTATTGTTATTCTCTCATGTTTTTAATGTATCTAGTTTTACATGAATCGTTGGTTGTTTTTTGTAGTGCACATTTTGCTGGTTGTGTTTGCTGACACCTGACTATATGGAAGGAGACAACATGAAGCTTTCACTGAGGGGACTAACAACAACAAATACCCAACACCTTGGCAGAGATAATACATTTACAATTGTGAATAATGTTTGATATCCTGATGGTAAACCCTTCTTACCCATGTTCGTTTCTTTGATCGGT